CGATTGGTCCTGTAGCGCCGCTCTAGGTACTACTGGACCAACCCGGCAGCACCCCAGCTGCTCTGCCCCAGGTCCTGATTCAGCCGCTGCTGGGTCCAGTAACGCCAAGGAGCGAGGAGCGGTGCTACTGGAGCAAACCAGCAGCACCCCAGCTGCTCTGCCCCAGGCGTCCTCAAGTCAGCCACTGCTGAAACTGACCAGCACTGACTACAAGAAGCCCCAGGCAGAGTTGCTCTGCCCCAGGCTTCCTGGAATCAGCCACTGATCAGTTTCAGCAGCAGCTGACTTGGGGAGCTTGGGGGTCTTAAGTTGAATCTGTATGTAAGTCAGAACCGGCGGTCAGTTTCAGCAGGGGCTGAATCTGGACGCCAGTTCCAACTTACATACAGATTTAACTTAAGAACAAACCTACAGTCCCTATCTTGTACGCAACCCGGGGACTGCCTGTAATCTATTATGTAAGGTTTATCTGTTCAGCACGTTTGCAAAATAAAACATGCTACTGTATGGACTGTTTTATTTTGGAAGTTTTAAAGCAGTTTATGTAGCTTACAGCTCTTCCAAGCTCTGTCTGTCTGTGTGTGTGTGCGTGCGCGCTCTTAGTCTGGCTGCTATGATAATTTACAAACCCTGAAAAAAGGTAATAGCCTGGTAGCACTTTAAAGACTAACACCACATGTACATGGTATCATGAGCTTTCATGGGCACAGCCCTCTTTTTCAGATGACCAGAGTGTTGCAAGTCCAAAGCTAGAAGTTGACCAAATTTTTCTGATTTTTTGTTTGCTTTCATAAGTTAAATAAAACAAATTTCATTAAACCATGAAACAAGAAAAAAAAAAAAAAAAAAGGGGGGGGGGGGGGAGAACTGATGGCAGACTTGGTATTTTCAGAGTACCACAGTGTCGCATACTGCATAATGTACTTCATTTAATGTACCTTCCCTAACTTTTTAAAAAATTGTCACTTATACTTGGTAATACACAGAAAATGCCTGATTGCACAAATGGCAAGCAATTGCTACTGAGACAAGATAGGTGAGAGAGTAGGTGAGAGAGTATCTTTTGTTGAACTAACTTCTATTGCACATAGACAAAAGCTTTTGAGCTTCCAGAGTTTTTTTTTTCCAAGTCTGAGAAACCCTTTCCTCACAGTATCAAACAGAAAATTTGAACAGACTATTTAGTGTAAATAGTTAACAGATTTAAATGGACCATTCATGGTGGTGACTCATTAGCATTCCTCCAGAGTAAAGGGGGCGGGGGGAAAAGGGTGTTAGCGGGTTACAGATTAGGGATATAAAATCCCATTTAATTGGTTGACTAGTTAAACATAATGTTTGACAGATTAACCAATTAAAGGGGGAATAGGCCAGAGGGAAGCTGAAATGGCCCTCCCAGCTGTAGGAAGGTGCTATTCCAGACTGGCTGGAGGAGCTCTTGATTGTGGTGTGCCTGGACCCACTGTGGAAAGGGGCTGCTCTGGCTAGGCTGAAGTGCAGTGTGCTGCTCCAGTCCCTACCAGTTAACCAGAACTTATAAGCAGGGCTCGACAAATAGGCGAGCCGATTACACCCCGGAAGAGCTGGCGTGGAGCGATCTGCACATATGCAGAACAATCTGCACATGTGTAGAGGGCAGAACCGTGCGGTTGGCGAGCAGGGCTCGCTGCCGCTCAGTGAGCCCTTCTTATAAGCATTGTTTGCTAAGGGTGATGCTTACCCATCACATCTCTATTACAAATTGTTGTAATAGTCATAAATCCAGGACCTCTGTTCAGGCCATCAGTTTTAATCTTCTGCAAAGTTATGAATTTAAGACCCCAGGCCTATGTTTTTAAAGTGCTCTACAGGTTTCCTTTGATGACAAGTCAGTTACAGAGTGATCACTTTTTTGGTGAGAAATGTTCATGGATGATAGATTTTTTTTGTTTTTCTTATTTTCCTGTATGAATTCATTTGAGGTGTTTTGCTAGACTTGGGAAATCCAGATTAAAGAGGGTCAACCTGTATTTCATTTTTTTAAAAACAGACTTAGCAGGCTATGCCCCCTGCTTGCTACATTCGTCAATGACCCATCTTTGGGGGCAGGCAAGCCCAGGCCTCTCAGCCCCTAACTCCTGGGGAGGGCCAGCTGCTGCCTTTCATACCCCCACCACTGGAAAAGGGAAGGGAATGGCCAGTGGCAGGCTGGCCCCCCTCTGGCCACCAGAGGTGGCAGCAGCAGCTCCTCGCTGCACTCTGAGGCCCACTGAGGAACCATCGCCTCTGCCAACTTTGGGCCAGGTTCTCAGGCTGCCATCTGCCTGGTGCTCTAGCTTCAATCTGCCCAGAAAGATTAAAGCACCAGCCTCCTGGAGGGAGGGGAGAAAACACTGAGTCCGGTGCTCTAATTTTTGTGAGCATGTGGGAGGGAAACGAGACATCGCCTCTGCCAACTTTGGGCCAGGTTCTCAGGCTGCCATCTGCCTGGTGCTCTAGCTTCAATCTGCCCAGAAAGATTAAAGCACCAGCCTCCTGGAGGGAGGGGAGAAAACACTGAGTCCGGTGCTCTAATTTTTGTGAGCATGTGGGAGGGAAACGAGACTGGAGTCTCAGGAGGTGGCAGCCCGAGATGTTGGCCATTGGCAGGGGGGGGGCGGGGGTCTCCGCTGCCATAAAACACGGGGAGAGCCTCCGGCTGCCAATCTCTGGCCCTCCTGAAGGGGACTTGGGGTCAATGGGGAGTCCTGGGTGCCCCCCTGACGAGTGGTTGGGGGGAAAACCACGAGCCATGGCCACCGTTTCCCCTTCTGGGGACTCTGCTCAAGGGAGGAGGCATGATACAGAGTGACATGGTGTGATCACACTGTCACCATGCAGGAAAAGATTTTTATATAGAGATAAATTGGCCACCAATCAGTAGCCCCAATCCTAGTATGCAGTTTCATTGTACATAAATGTATCCACCAACAAGCTCAATAAAACTTCAACACACCATCAAGAAAGCGCATTAATCTTTCAATCACCATCAAGAAAGCCGAGCCTATATAGGCAAGTCGTTAGTAAGATATGTACATTGTTGCAATACGCGATTGCAAGATCATATTGTTCAACAGACTCATTAGCCATTGTAACACAGTTATCAAGCAAACCACATTACTTAAGATACTTGGATCTGGCTTCTAGTGGACTTTTCAAACAGTTAATCAAAACCACTTCCAAACATGTATGTGCATAACTCAAAATATGAAAAAAGCTTACCTGTC